GAGCTAAAGGAAAATCCCCACCCGCTATTAGCATTATAGGGCATATGACACACAGTTCTGAGTCCCTCCAGTAGAGGGCAATGGTATATATATAGAGAGAGATATTCTCTGCTCCCCTAGGACACTGCATCCGCTCCTGGGTCACCATGTCTGATGCCTCCTCTCCCTCCCTGGAAGTCTGGCTCATCCCTCTCGGGAGTGAGGATTGAACAGCCCGGGGCTGTTGGGATGAGCGGGGCTGGGAAGCAGCATGACCCCCGTCTCGGCCCAACGGTGTGGAAAGAATTAAACCTTTCCCGGGGAGAAGCCCCGGGTTAGGATGCCAGGGAACAGTTCCCAAACCCCAGTCAGTCCCGGTCGGTCCCGTTCCAGGGGCTGCGATCGGTGTTAAAGCTACGTGGCCAACGTCTTTATCTGCCTTCCTAATAATAGCTCCTTCGATTATTAACTCGGAAAGAATGTCAGGTCCCGTGTACGATCTCACCCCGCATCCCCTTGGACTGGATTTGTGTCTGCGCTTGGCTCCAGCCGCAGAACAGCCCTGGTCAATTTCACTGTCTCCTTCCGATCAGCTTGCCTTTAAGGGAGCGGAATTTGGGCACCTCCGATCACTGTCCATTTGTGAAAACAGTGGCCCAGGGCCTGCTGCACGCTCGGCTGGTGCTGGTGCAAGGCAGGCTGGCACCCGTTCCCTGCCTGATCAGGGGGCTGGGGCACATGACTTACGAGGAGAGGCTGAGGGAACTGGGGTTATTTAGTCTGCAGAAGAGAAGAGTGAGGGGGGATTTGATAGCAGCCTTCAACTACCTGAAGGGGGGTTCCAAAGAGGATGGATCTAGACTGTTCTCAGTGGTGGCAGATGACAGAACAAGGAGCAATGGTCTCAAGTTGCAATGGGGGAGGTCTAGGTTGGATATTAGGAAACACTATGTCACTAGGAGGGTGGTGAAGCACTGGAATGGGTTACCTAGGGAGGTGGTGGAATCTCTTTCCTTAGAGATTTTTAAGGCCCAGCTTGACAAAGCCCTGGCTGGGATGATTTAGTTGGGGTTGGTCCTGCTTTGAGCAGGGGGTTGGACTAGAACCTCCTGAGGTCTCTTCTTACCCTCATCTTCTAGGATTCTACGCAACACAGCCAACCGGGACTTAAAAACTGTCCGTGCTGGAGAATCTATCATGACTCTTGATCAATTGTTCCAACAGTTAACGACTCACCATTAAATATTTCCGGTCTGAATTTGTCCAGCTTCCACTTCCAGCCATCGGATCGTATTAGACCTTCCTCTGCTAGGCTGAAGAGCCCGTTATTCAATATTTGTTCCCTGTGTCGGTACTGATAGGTGAGGATCCAGTCACCCCTGACTTGACTCTTTGTGGCTCTTCTCTGACCCCTCTTCAATTGATCAACACCGATCCTGAATGGTGGGCACCAGAACTGGACACAGGATTCCAGCAACGGTCACGCCAGCGACAAACACAGGGGGGAAATAACCTCTCTGCTCCTACTTGAGATTCCCCTCTTTATACAGCCCAGGAGCACATAGGCTCTTTTGGCCCCAGCGTTGCACTGGGAGCTTATGTTCAGCCGATTATCCACCACGATCCCCAAATGTTTTTCAGACTCACTGCTTCTCAGGAGACAGTCCCCCGTCCACTAAGTACAGCCTGTGTTCTTTGTTCCTAGATGTCTACATTTAGCGATATTAAACACACATTGTTTGCTTGCGCCCGGCTTCGCCAGCGATCCGGATCACTCTGTATCAGTGACCTGTCCTCTTCATTGTTTGCCAAGTCCCCCATTTTTGTGTCATCCTCAAACTTTATCGGTGGTCGGCTTTGGACTCAAATGACCTGGCACCTTTAGATTTTGAGCATTTTTTTACAAAAACATTTTTTGTTACTTTTTCTAACTAAAACTAAGGGCCATTTGGAACCAAAAAGTCATTTAAAAGCAACATTTTTTTTAAAAAAAGCAAAATGCTCAAAAGCCCTCCAAACATTTTGATTTTTTTCAGCTGTATTCGTTTTGGCTAAAGAGTTTTTTTCGACCAGAACAATTCAGCCAAACAACACAACTTTGCAAGAAAGAAAGAAAGAACTGACTCTTTCAGCCAACCCAAATCTGCAGGTGTTTTGCTGGGGGGAAAACAATGAGCCGGAATGTCTACTGAATAATGTAACAACCTGCCAGGCACATCCACACCCACACGGCCGCTGTGGCTAGCGTCTGGCGGCTTCGGCAGCATGCAAGCCGGTGAGCGTCACCAGAAGGCTCACAAACTATTTAAAAAGGATCCCACCTAATTTCTATGTGCCCACTCCTATACATGGCACTTGGCAACCAGATCTAACTCCGTTAAACTGGAAACCTTTTAACCAGCCTTCACCTGCTCACAAAGCCTAGCGTCCACCTCGGCCTCTGTCTGTGGCCTGGATCCACAGAGGTGGCTGCTTTCTATGGCTCTGAGGACTGAAACGTTTTGCTCTAACGAAAGTGGTTGGGTTTGATATTTGGGTGGCGTTTCATGCCCTTGTACGCACCCAACGATCAGTGGTCACTTCTGGCCTTCAACACTATGACCCTCAACTCCGTCATGATCGGACCTCCCTTGTTCTGATTTCATAGAATCTCAGGATTGGAAGGGACCTCAGGAGGTCATCTAGTCCAACCCCCTGATCAAAGCAGGACCAATCCCCCAGAAAGATTTTTGCCCCAGATTCCTAAATGGCCCCCTCAAAGATTGAACTCACAACCATGGGTTTAGCAGGCCAATGCTCAAACCACTGAGCTATCCCTCCCAGGAGGTTCTACCACCAAGAGTGAGGGTTTTTAAGCTACGAGTGGGGGGGGCGGCAAGTCAATTGGGTGGAGCCACTTCAATGTCAGGGATACAATGAGCCTTTCCAGCCTTGGGAAATGTACTCCGGCTGTCACAGGCTTTAGAGACATTTTTATTCTTATTATTTATAGTTTTAATTCATTTTTCCAAATACAACACGTGCCAAAAACCAGAGTCCTCGTAAATTTATAGACTTGATATTTGAAGCATCTGATACCATGCCTTTAATTCATTTTATTTATTTATTTATTTATTTATTACAGTCAGAAAAAAAGGCGCTGATTTGTGCCGGGCGCTGCAGAGACACAAATGGACTGAGATTAGGGCCCCGTCGCGCCGGGTGCCGCCCAGACACACAGTGACCGAGATCGGGGCCCTGTTGGGTTGGGCGCTGCCCAGACACACAGCGACCGAGATCGGGGCCCCGTCGCACCGGGCGCTGCCCAGACACACAGCGACCGAGATCAGGGCCCCGTCACGCCGGGCGCCGCCCAGACACACAGCAACCGAGATCGGGGTCCCATCGCGGCAGATGCTGCGTGGTAACTGAGGCAGAGCAAGTGGGAGGTGGGGAGGGAAGGTGTTAATTGGCCATGTGTTATTATTTCCTTTATTGATTACTGCAGTGTATTGGGGGTGGTTGCATGTGTGCCTCTGCCCTCTCCAGGACACAATCAGAACTGCTCCTGTGTGTCACAGGAGCCCTCTACCGCTTTCTGCTAACGGAGATTCCCCTTTGCCTCCAGGGGGGCGGAAGCGGGGCAGAGGCTGGGTTCTAGCCATGCTGAGTGATGCAGCGACCCACCCGAATTCCTAGGCAGTGATTTGTTCCATCCGGTGCTCACATTTGCACGGCTCTTGTTCAAACACGGATAAAAGCACGGCCCCCTCCATCCCACTCCTGAACAAGTGACTTGAGATCTCAGTGAGACAAGCCAAGCCGCAGGCCAGGGGTGGGTTGGGGGGGAAGGAAGCAGCTGCTGCAGGGGATGAGCAGCCCAGAAGAGGGCGAGGGGGGCAGAGCCTGGGCGTGGCAGATCTTTGCACCAGCCTGAGCCCACCGCCCAGGGGAAAGGGGGAAGCTGATGGGTTCTGCGTTCTCTGGGGGGCCCCCCCAAAAGGCACAGGTGCCACAGGGCAGTTCCCTGTGACCACACTCAGTAAGCCAGACCCCCAGCCCAAGGATCAGCCCCCCCACCAGCCCTGGGGACAGCCTCCGCCGCAGGGAGTGGGAAGGGGCCATGGGCCAGTAGGTTTTGGGACTCTGCCCACCGTAGGACAGCGCTGCAAATATTTAGACAGGGGGGGATTAGCCGGCGGCTGCATGGGGGAGGCTAGAGGGGGATTAATTCGGCAAAGGAAATATTTACATTGGGCTCAGTGCTGGCTGCGACATCAGCTCCGGCACCGGGATCCCAGCGGCAGACAGAGCCGCTCAGGACAGGGACATGCCGGGGCGTCGCGGCACCAGCTGGAGGGCAGAGTGGGCACTGGAGGCAGAGGAAGGGGAGGATCTGGGCAGGGAGACTGAGGCAATTGGGGGCACAAACAACCCCCAGGCCACCCCATGGCATCCAGGCACCAGCTCTGCCGACGCCCCTCACTCCTGACCCGCAACCCCCCCCCCCCTGCCCCCCCGCCCCGGGGCCCCCCCCCCACAGCTCTGCCAACGCCCCTCACTCCCGACCCGCAGCCCTCTGCTCCCCGCCCCACACACACACACTCTAATACAAATTGATGACTGGGAAGCGACTCTGTTAAATTATCTTTAATAAGGAGGACGGGGGCATTTAATTGCAAGTTCCATTAACAAGCCAGAGGCCGGACTGTGCCATTTCCACAAGTCAGGGGGTGCATATAGCCCAATCACGTAATCCCTATGCCCCTCTCCACCCCCCATTTGGATCATGCCCAGGGTATGTGGGCGAATCAGTGTTGGGATCAAAGTTGCCCCTTTTCCCCTTGACCTGGTGTCCCCCTGCCTTTCCCCCCTCCCCCAGGGTGCTCGGCCTCCGGCACCAGCTTCCACCTTCTAGCCGCTGGGGAGTGGGGGGTATGAAACGTCCCTTATACCCCACCTGGGGGGCATCCACACCCCTCTCCCCCAGGTCCCTCTGCCCCACACCTGGAGGGGCGTCTCCCCTGCTTGGCCCCCTTAGCTCATGCTCTGTCCAGTCTTGCACTGTCACCCCCACCCAGCCATGAGCCCTGGGTCTCTTCTTCATCCTCTGTAGCCGGTGGGTGGGGTTGGGAGCAGAGAGTCCCAGGTGCCCAATTGGGCCCAGTGCCCGGAGATGTCATAGTGCCCACGGCAGGGCCCGTGGCAGGGCTCCTGGACATGTCTGTGGTGCCCACGGCGGGGCCCATGGCTGGTGCTCAGTGCCCGTGGTTCCTGCAGCAGGGCCTGGCGGTGCCCGGGATCCACGACTCAGCAGGAGAAGTTGGCCTGGAAGGGGACGCTGTCCAGCCTGCGGGGCTCCGGGCTCCGATGCCCGGCCCAGGGCCAGCAGAGCAGGGTGCGCAGGCTGCGGAAGACGGCTTTACGGAACAGGATGAAGATCCAGGGGTCCAGGATGGGGTTGAGGGCGCTGAAGCGAAAGGCTACCATGTCGCCCTTCTCATAACCGTCCGGGGCCAGGCCGCCGATGTAGGCACGGATCTGGGGGGAGAGGGGAGGTTACAGCCACTGCCCGGGGCGGGGGGTGATGTTAGAAGAGGCTACAAGGGGGGATGGAGCTGGGGAGGGGATGCAGAGCGGGAGGGTCGGGGGGGTGTTCAGCTCTGGGACCTTTTAAACCCCCCCCCCCCCCAAGGTCCTACTTATTGACCCCCCCCCCCAAGCTCTTTCCCAGCACTGGGGGCAGCCACTGTGTTTAAAACCCATAGAGTGTTGGGAACCCACCTACCTGGGATGCCCCCGTATGAGCCAAACTCTGGAGCTGGGGATAGAACCCAGGAGTCCTGGCTCCCAGCTCCCCAGCTCTAACCACTAGACCCCACTCCCCTCCCTGAGCCAGGGACAGAACCCAGGAATCCTGGCTCCCAGCCCCCCAGCTCTAACCAGTAGCCCCCACTCTTCCCAGAGCCATCAGGGGTCAGTGTCAGGAGGGTGCCCAGCTGCTGCTCCCCCCCCCCCCATGGGTGCCTATGTGCTTAGGGTCTCTGTTCTCTAGCTGTGTGGGACGGGGGGTTACAACCGCTCTCCCAAAAAACTGGGGCCATGTCACTCTCCAATGACTGGTCTGCCTGAGGAAAAGAGTCTGCTACAGCTGTTTGCTGGGGGAGCTGCTCCTTTATCTCAAGCAGCAGAGCATCTGTTGAAAGCCCCAGGCTCAAACAAGACTGGTTTTACCCCCCAGCCCAAGGCTCCGCCTTCTGGCTCCTCCTGGCAGAGGCAGGGGGCTCCCCACCCCTCCCAGTGCTCACCCCAGCAGCTGGGGTGTCTCTGCTTGCAGGGAGAGGGGGCTGGGCCCAGTGCGCGCCTCTCCTCCTGCCCCACACAGAGCAGTGGGGCTGGGAATTAGCACCAGGGCTGCACAGGGCAGCTACCCCTCGGAGCAATCAGCTCAGGCTCTCTGCAAACCCCGGCAGCGTCGCTGCACCGTTTACACCCGTGTCGCGTTGCAGAGCTTTTCTCGCCAACCCCACGGGCTGGAAACACCTGTTTAAATATTTGTATTGGCGCTGGGATCAGGAGCATCGAGGAGCTGGGGCCCCGGGCATAGCCTTATCTGGCCCTGGCTTCAAACCCCCCAGAGACCCAAGCCAGGCTCACTGGCCAATCTCAAGGAGGGATTCATAGATTCCAAGGCCAGAAGGGACCATTGTGATTATCTAGCACGACCCCCTGTATGACACAGGCCAGGGAACGGCCAAACAATAATCCCTAGAGCAGATCTCGTCGACGCCCAGCCCACCTTGATTTAAACCTTGTCAGCACTGGAGAATCCACCGCAATTCTCGGCAACCTGTTCCCAGGGTTAATGACGCTCACCGTTGAAAACTGACCCCGTATTTCCCGTCTGAATTTGTCCCGCTTCAACTTCCAACCATCGGATCGTGTTTGACCTTCCTCTGCTAGACTGAAAAGCCCGTTATGCAATATTATTCCCTATGTTGGTACTGTTAGATGGGGACCAAGTCCCCCCCTCTTCGCCTTCTCATTGTTAAACTAAATACATCGAGCTCCTTGAGTCTCTCGCTACCAGGCAGGTTTTCTCACCCTCTGATCATTCTTGTGGCCCTTCTCTGACCCCTCTCCAATTTATCAACGTCCTCCTTGAACGGTGGGCACCAGAACCGGGCACAGGATCCCAGCAGCGGTCGCACCAGGGCCAAACACGGAGGGAAAATAACCTCTCTGCTCCTACCCACGACTCCCCCGTTCATACATCCCAGGATCGCATTAGCTCTTTTGGATCCAGCGTCGCACTGGGGGTTCCTGTTCCGCTGATTATCCACCACGACCCCCAAATGTTGTTCAGAGTCGCTGCTTCCCAGGAGAGAGGCTCCCCCCCTCTCCCCCCCGCCCCGTAAGTGCCGCCGACATTCTCTATTCCCAGATCGATACATTCACATTTAGCCGGGTTCAAACACGTATTGGCCTGCGCCCGGTTTACCCAGCAACCCAGATCACTCTGTGCCAGCGACCCCCATCTGGGTGTCCTCTGCAAACTTTATCAGGGAGGATTTCATGGTTTTGTTCAGGCCATCGATAACAAAGTTAAGCAGCGAGGGGCCAGGAACCGATCCCTGGGGGACCCCACTGGAAACGGCCCATCTGGAGACCCGTCTGCCGGCTTTGAATCCGTTGAACGTGGGCCTGTGTGTCGTGTGGCACCAAGTCACAGACAGGGTCTGCTGTTTTGGGTCTGTCAATGATCAGAGCCAGGGTCCAATGAGCCCACTATCCTGCCCCCCACCCTTGGGCCCGGGGCTTGGCTGCTGTTAACGGGCCTTGCTGGGCTGTGATACCCCACCCCTACGCTGGAGGCTATTTCTGGCCCCATGCAGACTCCCCGCTCCTCACCCACGGCCCCCCCCCCCAGAGCAGGGTCCAGCCTCAGGGGGCCCATTCAGCCCTCAGCCCAGCTCCCTACATTATCTTCCTTCCAGCAGATGCGAAGGGGGGACGACATGTCAGGCTCTGCCCTTGGAGGGGGGCCAGGAGACCTGGGCTCTGTCTGGCTAACCCCATGTGGGGGAGGTCTAGGTTGGATATTAGGAAACACTATTTTACTAGGAGGGTGGTGAAGCACTGGAATGGGTTCCCTAGGGAGGTGGGGGAATCTCCATCCTTAGAGGTTTTTAAGGCCCGGCTTGACAAAGCCCTGGCTGGGATGATTTAGTTGGAGTTGGTCCTGCTTTGAGCAGGGGGTTGCACTAGATGACCTCCTGAGGTCCCTTCCAACCGTGATATTCTGTGATTCTATGATAACCACCACCCCCACACACACACACTGGGCAACAGCTGCCCTCGCTGGTGGTGGATAGATCCTCACGTGTGACCCGGTCAGGGGGGCCTTGGGCGGCTGTTAGCAGATAACGGTGATGAACATTCTGGGTTAGCCAGGATTAATGGCAACAGGGTGAGCTGAGGGGGGGGCTGGGCCCGGGGGCCCCCAAGAGCAGAAGCAGATAAGGTCAGTGAGGGGGACAGATGTGGGCAGCATCTGTGTCCACAAAGCACCAGCGAGACCATCCAGGCTCAACAGAGCTCAGTCTAAATTAGACAAGGCAGGCAGGGAAACTGAGGCACGGGGAGCTGTAACACACACACGCACCCCCGCCCAGGCCAGGGTGGGACTGCCTCCCAAGGCTACACACTTTTGTGCTCCCCCCCTAGCTGGATCAGGCCAGGGGCTCACGGAGCTCAGTATCCCGTCCCCGACACTAGCTACTTTGGGGGGAAGACGGGGTGCAGACAGCCCCCTAGCAGGCAACAATGGGATAACCTAAGCCCAGGGGAAGTTACCCCTCGTCCCCTTGCACCTTCCCCTCCCCCCTCTTTATTCATGGCCTCTCCCAGGTGCGTATTAATTCAGCTGGACTGCTGGTGGTGGGGTGCAGGGACGGAAGGATGGAAAGCAGCATCCCCCCACCTCCTCCCCAGAGCCAGGCGCATCTCCCAGGTGTGCTGGCAGCCATGCCACGGCGCTGGGCGAGAGCCCCCATGAAAGTGCCCAGGGCTGCTCCCCCGCTGGGCAGCCAGCACCCAGCAAGAAGGGGAGGCACATGCCGGGGACCCTCTGCGCCCCTGTGCTGTCAGTGCCCCCCCCCCAGCCCTGGCAGGATCACCCCCTGCTGGGCCCCTCCACTCCCCTGGGTGCCCGCCCAGATCACCCACGCATGCAAACCATTGAAACTCCACACAAAACAAGAAAACCCCCAACTTCGTCACACCCACACAAACTGGGGCTGTGCCATGCCGTGGTTCCCAGCGCCCGCCCGGCTGCGCCACGCTCCCCCCAGGCCCATCCAGGGAGTGCCCCAAAGACTCTACCATCTCCTCCTATTGATCGGGGTCCCCCCCAGCAACAAGGACCCAGCCACTGGAGGCGGGGGGGTAGCCGGGGTCGCTATGGGGCTGGTGGCTATCGCCAGGGGAAATCTAGAACCTACAGTTGACGCGAGTGGAAACGATCCCCGGCACTTGTTAACGACACTTTGTGAATCAAAGGGCGCCTTTGAAAATCATCCCTTTTACAGGCCCTGGTTATTGTCAGGCTGCCCGGGAAGGCCGATCCGGCTGCAGAGAGACCCTCTCGCCCACCCTGGTGTGAATCCAGAGTCGCTCCATGGATACATTCGATCCCGGGCAGCCCGGAGCGTGTTCCCCGGAGAGGTAACTGACTAGTCTTCAAAAAATGCTGCTCGACTCAAAGGGGGGAGGGGGTTGAGTGTGTGCGCGCTGCGGGGTGGTGGGGGGGCAGTCCCAGATCCCGGCCCGCTGGGAACAGCACTGAGCACTAAACAGCTAGCAGACGCAAGCCCTGAGTGATACAGATGCAACATCCTAGGAGAGGAAACAGCCTCATCAAAGGGGCGAGAGGGGCCGGGGCATGAGAGGAAGGAGATTACTGCCCTTTAACCATAAACCATAATGGAGAGCTCAGCCCTTATCTACAGGCCCCTTTCACACACGCTCCCAGGACGGCAGCAGCTTCCCCCGCTCGCGGGGAAGAGAGACAGAAAGGCTTCCGGGGGGGTTCACCACCAGGGTGCCTTGCTTTACCCCAGCTGGGGATCTGGCCCATTGATTCCAGATTTACACCATAATCTACGAATAATGCCGGAGACGCCAGGCGGAGCCAGACAGAGGAGGGAGCAGAAGGACACAACGGATGCGAATACCGATGCATAAGAGGAGCTCAGTCTATTTAGCTCGGCAAAGAGAAGGTTGAGAGAGGGTTGATTACAGGCTATAAATGCCTCCACGGGGAGGAGATTTCTTTAGTCGAACACCCCGAACAAAGGGAGGTGGCTGGAGCCGAAGCGAGACAAATTCAGACTGGAGATAAGGGGTGCCTCCACAACAAGGGAGGGGAATCATCCCCAAGGGACAGGGCAGCGTCTCCATCACTTGGAGTCGTGCCCTCGAGATCAGCCGACTCTGGCTAAAAGCTTCGTTCTAGCTCGACCACCAGATATGGGCTGCCT